CCATGAAGCTCTGGGGGTTGAGACGCAGCGTATATCGTCCACATGGGTGCGCCGGAGCCACCGCAAATCTAGACCACTGGGGTCGATCATGTTAGGAACGAGACGGCAAAGCAGAGGCAACGGTGCATGAAGCAGGATCGGTCCGAGACGTACAACATCCTGGTGCGGGTCCATGAAAACATAGAAGCCGTAGCCCTTGGCGAGCCTCAAAATGTCGATTGTGTGCTGAATAAACTCCTCGTCGTAGCGACCCGGCCCCGCAGCCTCGAGCGCCTCCCAGGTAAAGACATAGCGGATGGTGTTGAAGCCCCAACGCTTGAGGCGTGAAAAGTGAATGTGGGCTTCGTCTTTTGGGAATGGGCGAGCATGAAACTTGACGCTGTCGCCGTCGAAAAAGTCGGTGCCAACATGGGAGGGCTGGTCTGGTTCGCTGGGCAGCTTTGCGTCACCTGCAAGGTTGATGCCGCGGAGGACGACGGTGCGGCCCTTGCGGTCACGGAACTGGCCGTCCTCGATCGTCAAGCGAAATTGTGGCGTACTAGACATGGCGTGAGAATGTGGCGTGAGAGGTTCGGCGACGATGTGCAGTCGCTATGGGAAGGAGGAAGGAAAAGAGGAGTAGGAGGAAGAGAACAGGTCGAGTCGCAGGTACGAAGTTGGAATGTCGAGTCGTACTAATCGGGGGATCGGGGGCGCGCGTGGGACGTTAGGGGTGCCGAGAGGTGGATATGGATGTCTTGGTCGGGGAGAACCTTGTTCCCGGCGTGGGTTGCTGGAGACTCGGGGGGGGGGAGGGGGGCGTGGGTGATGACGTTCTGCCACGAACGACGGCCAAATGGGTGCCAATATGCTGACTGACGTCGACAGCCTTGGCTGATAAGATTGAATGATGGATTATGGATGATATTTGGAGTTCAGAGGTAGTCAGACTGGTGTTGGGTTATGTACAGATGGAGAAGCCAAATGTTCTCGGTGGACAGAAAGAGAGAGAGAGCAATGGCAGTGACCTGCTCTCTCTCGCACGCGTATTCGGGTCACTCTTCCCCTTCCTCGAAGTGACGATGACCCAAGGTCGCCAAGCCACTTTATCGCCCCACCTGATCCTGCTCACTTGATTTGAGCAGACATACCAACACCGTCCGAAGAAATACCAATTGGTCGGAAATCTGGCGTGTCTTTAGCCTCATGGGGAAATTCCGGCTCGGCCGCGCTGCCACCCCCCACTATCAATGACATCGTAACATCGGCGAGCCCGCAGAAGGCATGCCTTCAACGATCCCTCGATAAACCGACTTGAACAGACGAGCAGTTCACAGTAATTGAGCATGCAGTTTCACACAGGAACCTGATGGATCGAGCTACTAACACCCAGGCATACCATCACCAGTACAAATCGCCAATCTCTTCCCTCCTCGTCGCTTCACTGTTCTCAACCTCTACCACCTCGCCCTGCGTACCCCCCAACGTTCGTGATGCTTCGGCCCCCGGCTTGCGCCCGTCACCCTCGAGGTAACCAATGCTGGGTTTCGCTTCACGCTTGCCGAGCGCCCACCGCCTGAAGAACCACGCCACCCTGGCCGCCTGGTGCCTGGCAAAGTCCCTCTTGGAGTGCTCAAACACTGTGTCGAGGTCCTCGAGGCTCCGCCGCTTCGTCTCCTCCAGCAGGAAGAATACGAGCACGAATGCGACGACGTTGAGCCCGCTAAATAGCCCCAGTGCGCCGGCGTCCTTCAGGCTCGAGTTAATACTCGGGTAGAACATGGACAGCAGGCCCGCGAAGCCGAGGTTCACGGCAATGGCGAACGCCGCTCCCGCCTCGCGATGTGACAAGGGGAAGCTCTCGGATGCGTATGTGAACGGGATCGGCCCTAAACCAGGGCTGTATGCCGCCGCGAACAGAAACAGCCACACGGTGACAAGCGGCTCTTTGGCCCCGTCCGGCGCCTTGAACGAGAGCGCCGCCGCCGCCATGAATGCCGCCATGAGCGGCAGCGTCAGGTTGAGCCACTTGCGCCGGCCCAACGTGTCGATGGTGCGGATCGCCGGCAGGCAAAAGACAAAGTTGACCGCTCCGATGCCGAGGCTGTACTGCATCGCCGTCGCCCGGTTCGTGCCCGCCCGGCTGAAGAGCGTGCCCGAGTAAAAGGCGAGCACGTTGATACCGCAGAGCTGCTGGCTGAGGTTGACGATCGAGCTGCTGACGAGCGCGTTGCGCAGCCGCCGCACTCGAAGGAGCTGCTGGTACTGCCGGAGGAAGTTGACAAATGTTTCTGACATGCTCGTCTTGCGTGGGGGCGCTGACCAGGGGCTCGCCCCTGTCGATGGACTTTTGCAACAGATAAATGTCGCGCAGCGCCTGGAGCTCTGTGCTCCGCAGCTTGCGGATAATTTCGTACGCCCTTTTAGGGTTGTAGTTTGGACTGGACTCACGCAACAAGTAGCGCGGGCTCTCGTCGCAGAACCAGATGACCAGGATGAAGAGAGCCAACGAGGGCACGGCTGGTGCAGCCATGATGAGTGCAAACGTGATCTTGTCTGTCTTGGCTGTGCTGAATATGAGGTTGAAGGCAAATCCGATGGCGATTCCACAGGCCACCCAGAGCTGCCATGCTAGGATTGACGTGCCTCGCCACAAGCCAACGGCAGTCTCACTGGCAAGAATCGGTGTGCTGACAGCCTTGAGGCCCATACCTGTGTCGAATCGTCAGTGATGCCCCCCCCTGGCTTGATCAAAGTTTATCATCTACGTACCGATGCCGTTGACGAGTCGGATCCCGAATAAATGATACCAAGTCGTTGCAAACGCCGACGCAATCGATGTTGCAAAGATCAAGAACGCCGCGATGGCAACACCCTCCCTTTTCTTCCAAGGTAGTGGTTGACTGGCAGAGCCAAGAGGGCAACCCAGAAGTGCGGCGAACAAGAATGGGGGAGGCGTTGCGGCACCAAGCTTCCAGTCGTCGCTGTAAAGTTTGACAGGTGCTCGAACGTCGGCGTCTTCG